AGCATCACTGAAGCAATGAGCATGAAACTGAGCAAACTCAGGGAGGCAGTGAAGGACAGGGTCACGAAGAGTCGGAGACGACTTAATGACAACAACAAATGAAGCTTCTAGTGGCCATATTTGTGTTACAAAAACCTTTACTCCACTTGCATTACTATACAAGTGGAATAAAGGTACAGGCTGAGGTTGCTGGGAACAAGTGACTAAAAATACTATGTAAAGTAATATGCTTATTACACAAACGTTATTCAAATGTATTAATATGCAAATGTGTCCGATTTTTGGACCCAAAGATGTGGAAGTCCTAAAGTGAGGGTTCCGATGTCAGACACATCAGTAGTTTGAATACTTAGAATTAATTGTTAAGAGAAAGAGCACAACTGTTGGTGAAACAGACCCATACCACACAAACCTACCCCAAATCCCATTGTTCTATCAACTGTGAAAGTGATATCTCTATTTCTTCCAATATAAATGCAAATAGATTTTATTAAATGCTACTATTTACTATAATAACCACAAGATGGCAATATTTCTGGATAGTACTGAAAATTTCCTTATAAATAAAAACTTGTAGGGCTCAACAAAAATGAAGCTGCTTTTTTATTAAATTTTATCAAACTGGGACAGTCTATTTTGTCATCAAAAGTCTACAGATGAGATAATTGTTTTACAGTACATGCACCCTTCACAAATATACTCAAGTTTCTCTCCCCAGTGGGCATATTTTCTTGCTAAGTATATACAGAAAAGAATTATCCCTATATACATACAGACAAAATGTGGACAAAAGTGTTTTTTTCAGTAGTGTCCAAATTGTTTTTCTCTGTGGGTGTATGGAAAAAAGGGGGGGAGGGAGAGAGAGCAGAGAAAAACACATATCTTCAGAACTGGTAGCAAACAGAACAGTACAGAGCGGTACTATAGGGCCAAAAATGGGGAAAACGGGTGAACTATGTTTCCTATAGACATAAGGGGTAATAAAAACAGAGTGAATTATTTAACTCTAAGCTCTGATTAAAGTGCAGATCTGAAATAATAATGATTGTAAAGGCAGGG